TAAGTGTAGGCCTGGTTGTGTTCAAGCCCAGCTGCCCCTTGACTGCTGCCTGGCCATGGGAATGGCCAGGAAACTTGTGGGATTTTACTTCCTTTCCTGCAATGCCTTAACGAGTTTAGTCCTTGTGAATAGGCAGAGGCAGCAGCATCAGGTCCTCTCCATTTCCTGCCCCTCAGGTTTGCTCTAGTGAAAGGAGTCATTGTCATTAAATTAAGGTTTTGTTGTTGGTATAGCTGCTCTTGGTTGCAGGATCAGATGAGCAGAGTTGGGCTTGCTTGGTTGGGTGATTGTGGTGTAGTTGCACAGCTTTGTATACAGACTCATCCTAGGGGTTTTTTTCAACAACATGGTGAGGAGTTAGGAAAGATTTTTTGGGGATTTTTTGGAATTGTACTGCCTGGTCAAGTCCATTGAAGTTGGTTCTGCTCAGTCTGCTTTGAGCATTTGATTGCTGGATTGCATTACAGTCAAGAGTGTCATCTTGTAGTCAGTGCCTCCAATCCATATTTAACTTGACAGATACAAATTATTTACATTCTGTAGAGAGATGAGGGATTTTGGCGTATGCAAGTAGGTAAGAAACATGCTGCTGTTGGAGAAGAGAGCTAATTTCTGATACAAAATTGGGTTTCCACTGTTACTCTGCAGTGGCACTATAGGGCAAATTCTGTTTTGAGTAAGCTCTGCCTAATATTCCATAATTTAAGCAAGTTGGTTTTCAACAGCTAGGCTTTATTCATAACCCTGTACAAGATGCATTGCTTTGCCTTGAATATAATCCAGTGTATGTCATTCCAGGCTTCCCTGTCTTTCCTGCTTCCCTGTGGAAGCAGCCACAAGGGAAGTTGTGGCTTCAGGTCAGTATGGACCACTTCAGGAAGTTACTTGTGGACAGAGGTCCACCTGCACCCAGGCACAGTGTAGACTTGCACTGGTATAAAATTCATTTAGATAATATTATCCCTTTTTGTGATATGTTTTTTACTTCCAAGCTGCCCCACATTCCCTTGGAAAGCAGATTGTCTGTCATTCTTCCATGGATTTGGTCAGTGTAGCCAGTGCATAAGCTGCACAGCTGTGTCTCAATTCTAAATTTGCTTGGAGCCACTGTGTTATCAGGCCAAGTGATTTATTAACAGTTCAGTGAGTATGGATAAGGCTGTTCAGCTGAGTAATGTTTAGGTTTTTATTGCAAGTTTTTGCCTCCCATGCACCATAAATGAACTTGTTACAGGAAAGTGACTTTTCATGATCCCTGGGTGACCAGTGCTGTAGAAGATGAGGTCATACTGTGTAATGGTGTTATGTTTCATTTACATTTTAACCTGTAGAGGCAATTACTGAGCAAGTCCCTCTTCCACTAAGTTCAGCACTTGTGTTGCAGGTGGCCCCAGAGGAATTCAAGACCAGCATCAGCCGTGTGAATGCCTGTCTGAGGAAGAACCTCCCTGTCAATGTGAAGTGGCTGCTCTGTGGCTGTCTGTGCTGCTGCTGCACGCTGGGCTGTAGCCTGTGGCCTGTAGTCTGTCTTAACAAAAGAGTAAGTACAGGTTTCTTCCTTCTTACTCTATTTATTTTGCAATTACTGAGAGTGTTAAATAATGTTTAATAGCATCATCCCCATTTTGAAACCCTTTTTTGATCTTACTTGCATTCAAAATGTTCTTCTGTTTCCCGTTCCTCAGAAAACAGAGAAATATGTTTGTTGATGAAGTAAATGATACCAAGTTAGTAATTGAATTACTAGTCTTAGGAATAGCCAATCCCATCTCAGCTGGAAGAACAGGATGTATATGATATGTATACAATAACTTAACCTATGTATATGATAACCTAAATTTCCAGGACTTGTAAAGTTTAAGAATTGAGTAAAATGAGTTGCAGACCTGGACACTGACCTTCAAAGCCAGAACTGAAATGAAAATTGCTTTTCCTCTTCACAAACACACTCCCCTTCCCCCAGAATACTTTTTAAAATTAAAAATCCCTTTTTGTATGCAATAGATCCCATACCATTTCAGAGCTGGGGTTCATTTGACCTGTTTTACTGTGCTGTTTCTATTAAGAACAACCACAAATTTGTTTTCTGGTAATGAAGTTCAAAGACTTCCTCTCCAACGGAGAGACAACTCCTGTAATCAGGTCCGAAGTAATAATTCTGTAAAGCATTTTAGTAATATCAAGTAAACATGATCTTCATTACCTTTATGGTTTACATTTAGAATTGATTTATCACAGCAATAAATGTTTAGGAAGCACATCAGTAGGTATAGTGTGATGATATTCTTTGTAGCTAGTTTGTAACCCTTGTCGCCATAAAATCTTACAATCCACAAATGCAAATATTATGTAGGTACACTAGGAAAAAACCTCCAGCAGTTTTAAATTAAGTTATTAAAATAAAAGATTTAAAGTAAAAATCTGTTTAATACTTGTGGATTTTGAGAGTTTATCGTCTTTACTGAAACAAACCAAAAGCAAAAAGGAGGAATAGGCATTGTTTTGCAGAGAAAATAAGCCACAAGTGTTTTGCCAAATTTCCCAGCTTGCCTGAGAAAATAACAGTTGCACTGACTGGCATTGAGGTTTTAGTTAAAATAATAAATAAAATGCACTAAAGGCATAATATGTTAACTTGCTAAACTACTAATCACTGAAGCCTGGAACACTGAACAGCTACAGGGCTTGGTTTAACCCATTTTACCTTTATAAACAAAGTATTGCTTGCAATATACAAATGGAATATTAGAGTTTTAAAGCCATATTTAATATTCATGTGCTAGTGAAAATCTACATAAATGGCCATATGATGATGTAGTGTTAATGAAATTCTCTAGGCTACAAGTAGTATGTACTAAGAAGGGAAAATGATGGTAGTTTAGGGGGGGGAATGTATTGGAGGAACTTCATCACTACTAACAATCACAATTTGCTGTGGGTTGAACCCAGAGAGCAGCAGAGCACCCCCAGGCCCTTCCTCACACACCCAAACAGGATGGGGAGGAGAATCAGAAGAGCAAAAGTAAGAAACACTTATGTCTTGAGGTTTAGTAAGTGAAGGAGGAGAAGGGCTGAAAAGCCAGGTGACAGAGAGGCAAATCACTTCCCACTGCTAGGAAAGAACAGCCCCAGTTTTGCTGCTGAGCATGATGTTATGTGGGATGGAATACCCCTTTGGTCAGTGCTGCTAAGCAAGAGCTGCACCACTGCTGTGGCAGGGATCAGTCCTGGATCTAAAGCACAGCACCATGCAAGCTGCTGAGAAAACTCCCTCCAGCCCAGCCAGTCCCCACACACTCACTGAGCAACAAAAGGCAGTAGGAGATCCAAAGGCTGCAGTATGAAACTAGGACAGTTGACACATGTTTTGAAATTCCAAGGATAGCTCTGTCACTGGGGAAACTTAGAAGTGGTGGGTTCTCTATCAGTAAGTCTTGGGCTCAGATAGCTTTGTATCTTTTTTAATGACAATCACCTGCCATTATCAGCTTTAGCAAAGAGATTCATGATAGAATTCTGTGCATACCATGCAGGATCATGACAGTGGTCTTTTGTGACCTCAAGAATCACTGAAACTCCACAAACCTTCTCTCCCTCAAATGTGGAAAGAGCAGAACATGAGGGTCACACTTTGGTAGCCAGGTGTTGAACATAGAAGCACCATTTGCTGTGAGCTGGAGATCTGTGGTGTTGAGATTTTGTCAGGGTTCAGATCACAATTACATCAGCAAAATCTGGATGTTAAGTGATGTGTTGTCAGCAGAGCACCTGTAGTGAGTGCAGTGTTTGGCCAGGAGAACGTGGGAGGTTCTGTTTTGTTGGCTTGGCTGTGGTAGGTAAAAACACTAAATTCAACAGATGTCTTACTAACTCAATGAATTCTAGCAAAGTTACAGTCCTGAGATGGACTTGATCTTAGAAATCTTTTCCAGCCTTAATGATTCTAAGTTAACTAAAAGCCCATGAGCCTTTCCTTTTTTGAAGGAAGGAGTAGTGGGGAGTTGAAGTGGTAGGATTTCCATTTATTAATTTCTCTTTTGCTTGGTTCTACTTCTATCCAACTAATTTATTTTGAACTAATCTGAGCTAGAAATGCCACAGTGAGATTCTTCTGGATGGGATTGGCTACTGAACCATTTATAATACAGTTTTGACTTACTTTTTAGACTAGAAGATCAATTCAGAAGTTATTAGAATGGGAAAATAACAGACTATATCATAAGGTAAGAAAAGTCAGAGTGCTTGTTTTCTTCAGCTTTAAGAACATTGGCATGTAATTTTACAGTCTTGTTATAATTCCATAATTTATACTTATCTTACAGTGTTCTAAATCCTAATATTTCAGTCTTGCTAATGCTTGTTAGATTACTCATGAAAACAAGGCTGTGGTATGCATTAATCCTTTGGTAATTATTTCCTCAGCTTGGTTTGCACTGGAAGCTGAGTAAAAGGAAATGTGAAACTAGCAATATGATGGAATATGTAAGTATTACTCCTATAACTTATTTGCTATTCAACCTAACTGATTTAATAGAGAAAATCCTTAACTTACTAGTCTGGCCCTATGCAAAAACATCTCTCAGAAAATCTTACAGTTGTCTTTGACACAGATCCAACAAAGGCCACTTGTAACACCTGCAGCCATGGCATATGTTAAGCCTTAGAAATCATCACCACTAAACATGTTTTTTCTTAATGACAATTATGTTTGCAGACCAGATAGACTTGTTTTGGTCTGTAATCAGGAATGAGGGAGAAGCACTAGGACTCTGCATTGGTGTGAGTCCCACACCAGCCCCAGCCCATAGTTTTTGACCTTTACCAGTGGTATCCATAATTCCTTGATTCAAGTAATGTGTGCAGCAGTATTGCATTTTTATAGTAGTGTGGGTTTTGGCTGCATCTTTTTTTCTTTTTCTTCTTTTTTGCCAGCTCTAAATTTCACAAAGTTTTAACCAAGGCAGATCTTCTAGGGAAGCAGAATTCAAACTGCTTCTGTGGTCCTGCTTCTCCCTATCCACTCTAACATATAGTTGTGAAAATTGTGTGGACTTGAAAGCAAAAGATAATCACCAGAATCCCTCTGATCCAAATTGACTGAAGTCTCTGCTCCTTCCAGACTATCTCAGATATGTTTAGTCTTCTGAATTAGCTATTGTTGCATGGAAATTGTGCTGAAGGTTTGAACTTTTTGGTTACTATGTTCTGTTCTTGTCTTTTTCCCTTCAACAGGTAATATTAATAGAGTTCTTACCAAAATATCCCATATTCCGACCTGACTGAGGAACAACATTGGTCTTTCATGTTACCTGTCATTTTCTACCCTTAGTGCCTTGTAGATGGGTTTGGAAAGAAGATGGTCTACTTTGCTGTGACTTTCAAATGTTCTTCAGTAGAGTATCTTCCTTGCTGTTACTTTCTTTTGTTAAGAAGAGAACAATTTGCACATTTTTTTTTTTATGTTAAATGAGGCTTCTATGTTGCACTCTGAATTTTTAACATTAACTGATAGAGTTGCCACTAGGGATCTACCATCAGTGCTGCTTAAACTTGTTCTGAGCATGCTGCCTTATTCATTTCTCTATTTGCTGTCCTCAAAGCTGCATCCTACAGCTGTGTCATCCTAGATTTCATTCTAAATGTGGCAATCCCAGACCCCCTCAGTAGAAATGTCCAGGTAAGCACCTAGTAGTAATGATTTCAGTATAACCTGCTTGCATAGGACTTGCATCAACAGCACTGGTTTTGTCCTGCACTTTGCAAAATCATCATTTCCATTAGGGGTTCCTTAGTTTCCCCACTATGGATTTGTAAATATTGACTCTTTGCATCATGTCCAGTGTGGTATGCCAAGGTTTACAGAATGTATTATAGCTCTTACTCTATTGCCAACAGTCCCCTGAGTTCCCTCTGTCCCATTTACTCATCCCCTCGGACTGTACAGCCCCATCCACACACTGCTTTATGGTAAAGCCATAATGAGTTTGTACATACTGTCAGATGTGTAGGGCTCAGTTGCACTTTGTTTAGTAAATGGATGAAAAATGCATAGCATTTCTGTCTTTGGTTTTCTTTTAAAAGGGATTTCAGGTGGTGTTTGCAGCACCTGAGATAGGAAGCTGAAATCTGGTCACCTCTGGAACAGTTGTATTTGTGGGCAGATGGTGGCTGCTATCCACAAAATAGCCTAAAGTTAAGTTAGGAGTATATGGATGTGTCAAGTTTTATTTTCAAGTGAGGAAAAAATAATCTTGGCCTGGAGACCTACATTACTAAGGAAAAAAATTTGGAATAGCCAAATCAAAGCTGAAGTGACACCTTTGTTATTGCTGCAGTGTGACAGTACTTCAGCATTTGAACAGTTAAGTGACATGACATCCCTTCCAGTGGAAATCTATTTTATCTCAGTCAGAGTGGTGTTTCAAAACACGCTGATGGAAGGAAGTGGGCTAAGCAAGACCACTTGAGCATAGTAGGCAGATTGAAATGGATGCAAGTTCTTCCCTTTCCTAACTGGAAATAAGAAAAACCAGCAGATGACTGACTTATCTGTAAGTTGGGATGAAAAGCACCATCAGTGTCCAGGCATTTCTTTGCAGCAGCTCCCTGCAACATCATCCCAAGTTGCTTTTAAGTTTCAGCATGACTTGGGATTCCCTCTGAATGTATCCGCATCCTTCCAGTATGCAATATGACATTAAAATACAGCATTTGTCAGACCATTGCATTCTAATCCCTGTAGTAGGTCAGATTTCCTGTATGCAGTGTTTACACAAGGCCAGTTTTATGCAAGTTGTTACTCAAAGCAATTTCTGTGCTGTTTTTGCTGCCCATCTGAGGAAGGTCAGACTGCAGCACTTGCAGCAGTTTCCAGTCACAGAGTGATGCTTCGGAGTCTGAATCCTGTACACTTCATGCAGAAACTGTGTTTGACTGGTAGATTGGTGACAACTGACTGTGTAATTGCATTTATAGCATGAATAAAAAACTCCTGTGTTGTTTGAATTTCACCTTAGCTACACCTTGCAACTCAGATTTCCATCACAGAACCAAGCAAAGGTTGATTCCAAGTTATTTTTTTGGGGGGGTGTGACTGTTAACTGGAAGCAGAGAAAATACTTAATGGCAGAAAAATACAGGGTAAACCAAAACTGAAATAGCACACCCAGTTCTCTAGATTGCCCTCACAAATGAGTTTCTGGAGGAAATGAAGGAGCTTGGCATAATTAACAGAACAATGGAAGTTTCTTACTGTTACCCAGAACTTTGTTAGTCATTTTCTTTCTCTTTTTGTGTAAGAAACTTAAGAAATTTCAGCAAGTTCTTATTTTCTTCTTTATGTGACTGTATTTGCAAAACATACTTTTCCATCTGAGAGAACAGCACTTAGCATGGGATCCTGGAATGGATTGGGTTGGAAGGGACCTTAAAGCTCATCCAGTTCCAATTCCCTGCCCTGGGCAGGGACACCTTTCACTAGCCCAAGTTGCTCCAAGCTTTATCCAACCTGGCCTGGAACACTTAAGCACATAATATTAGTTTCTAAAGTTTACATTTTAAGTCTATAAATTCTATACATTTTACGTTGTCCTTAGTTATTAGTTGTGCAGCCTTCAAACCAGGAATGGGTCTCCTCTTTGTGTTTTAATTTAACTATGTGGCCATTAAGCAACTAGTAAAGAACCAGAGCCAAAACTGCCATTTACATTAAGCTCCAGGTTTTAATAAGTAGATAAATTTGCATTAAAATGCAAACCCAGTACACAGTATTATATTTGCATCTGAAAGACACAGGCTCCATAGCTCATTTTAAGATGAAGGCAGCTGTCAGTACTGCTGTGAACTCTGCACTTCTGTTCTGCCTACAGGTTCTTTTCTGCCTGGACTGTCCTTTGCTTTAGTATAAAAACATCCACAGGTAATTCGATCTCACAAGACTGAAAATCTTATTTTTGACAGTAATTTGTCAGCATGACTTGGTAAACCTGTGTATGGAGGATACTTGTCAGTTGGAGAAGGTATTTATAGCAGTGTAACAGAGATGAATGTTAGCAAAGTGAGTGGAAGTGGTAAAGAAGGTGCCTTGGCTGGTCCCAACAACAGAGAAAACATTGTACAGAGTAAGGAGAAAAGGGAACTATCAGCAGTGTGAGTTTACAGCAGATTTTTAAAAGCAGTTACTGTCTACCAAATCAGTGTTTAATTTTTCATATAAATATCTTGACACTAACTTTCCTTTCTAGTTTTTATCCAGGAAATAATTTGGGCTTGTATGTAGTAAGTTTTGTATCCAAGGAGTATTGAAGGAGTAAAGTACACTGGCAGAGCATGAAAGCTCTTTCCTGCCTCTGTCTGGGAAGGAGTTTTAGCACAGGAGGAACAAAAATGTGTTCAGGACATGCACACGCAAGTCTAGGGAGTGTGGATTCAGGTGTTAGTGGGTGACAGAGAACATTTTTTGCTAAATCTGGTGTGGTTTTGATAAATACAAAAACAATCTTCCTGTGCTTTCCTTGATAGGTACAAAACTTCATATGCAAACCCATAAATATGTTTATTATTGTCCCACTCCGACAGTTTACTGCATTTACTTGTCAACACTACCATTGGAGCAATAAAAATGTCAAGCTATTGATACTCAAAATCAATTATTTATCACTGTAGTAAGTAATGTTATGTGATTCTTCTGCCATTCTTTTGTTTTCTGCTTTTGGTGTTGTTACAACGTTGTACCATCCTTGTACTGCTTCAGAAAAGTGGGTTTGTTTAAGCTGTATGAAACTGTGTTCTTAACACTTTTATTCTGTTTACAAGTGAACAGCCACTTTTTTTAACAGGACCTCACAGCTGGAGAGTTTTCTCTCTGTTTTTTATTTTAAATGAAAATAAAATTCTAACTGAGCTTGCTTTCTACAATTACTGCACTGGCTTGTGCCATTGAAAGGAGCTGGAAGCCAGACATGCTTCATCACTTTGAGACATTTTTCTTTAATTAAATTTGAAGATGAAAACCTTGAACAGTGCAATGTGTTTCTGGAAAAAAAAACCCCAACCCAAATCTTCTGTGTCTCTCCCTGTAGCAGTGTGTAAATGGAATGGGTTGGCTTTAAATGAGACATGTCTGTTTGGGCAGACCAGCTGCTTGTGTTGGGACTGTATGGTTGGGTTAATTTAAAGAACAAGTCTTGGAAAACTTAGGATAGATTTCCAAAGAAGAGAACTGTTTTTCCAGATGATCCACCTTCCACCCATGGCAGTGCTGGAGTCCCCATCCCTGGAAGTGTTAAGAAACATGTGGCTGTGGCACCTGAGGACATGGTTAGTGGTGAACGTGGTGGTGGTGCTGTGCTGATGGTTGAACTTAAAGGTCTTTTTTAACTTTGCTGATTCTCAGATTTGGGAGGTTACAGCCCCTCTGTTGTGAAGACTCTTGGAGGAGTGCCTTCCTGCAGCATTCCCCTGGGAAAAGCAGAGGGTTTTCTCCTGTGCTGCTATAGTAGCACCTCCAAGGGAGCCAACCTGAGCCTGGACAGTGTGTGTGAGTGAGTAAATGGTTGGCTCAGAGGTTTGGGACACGAGCACAAGGCAGCCTTTGTGTGTGTTCCCGGGCTGGCTGTGGAGCTGGGAGAGCAGGGCTTACAGCTAAAGCCTTTGGCTCATCCCTGAGGGAAAAATACGCATTCCTGAAATGGGCACGTGCAATGTTTTTACTGGGAGTTGTTTCAGACAAGCTCAGGAGTGGCTGTGCTGTTGAGGCCTGGAACCGTTGCTGAATGCTGGGTGAGAAATGCAGAGTGTTACTGTGGTGTTAGGCCAAATACAGGGACATGGGGCTGAGGTCTGAGTTGATTCCCTCTTGGGGCTTAGGAGATGTAATTGCCTAGACTAGCAGCACAGGTCTGTTTGAAGAATATTTGGGATTTGGCCCTGACTCCTGTTGGAAGGCAGTGTCAGAACTGGTTGGTAGTGAGCTTGCTGGAATGTCTGTGCCAGTGTATTTATGTCATGTCAAGTGAAGTGTTCCAGCCAAGTGTATTTTTCTAGTTAAGCTTATAGAGACTTAAACCCTTCATTTGTTATAGAATCATAGTATGCTAAAGGGTTGGAAATGACCTCATAGATCATCTAGTCCCAACCCCCTGCCCTGGGCAGGGACATCTCCCACCAGAACAGGCTGATCAAGACTTTATCCAACCTGGCTTTGAACACTGCCAGGGTTGGGGCAGCCACAGCCTCCCTGGGCAACCTGTGCCAGTGTCTTACCGCCCTCACAGGAAAAAACTTCTTCCTAATATCTAATCTAAATTTCCCCTCATTCAATTTATCCCCATTACTCCTTGTCCTGTCACTGCAGTTCCTAACAAAGAGTCCCTCTCCAGCTTCCTTGTAGGCCCCTTCAGGGAAGCTGGAGACAATTGTTAGTCACCTCTCAGAAGCAAAGTTCTCTGTTTCTGTTCATCCTACTTGCATTTATTTTACCTCTTAAATAGGGGTGACCAGAAACAATGGTACATTCACAATAATGGCTCATGGCTAAGGCACCAGGTATTCCAATGGAGATAGTTCCCTCTTCTCTGAAAATAATGTGATCCATGAAATATAAAGGATCACATTTGTCTCCTTAGTGGTTGCATTGTATTTTTCATTCGTAGCCATTCTGTGATATATTTGGGACTTCTCATCAGTCACTTGTAGGTTATCTGAGCTCCCCACAGACACTCCCATTGCCAGTGCCACCAGCCTAGGCTCAGTATCTGACACCTTGAACTGGTGAATTCTTCAATACTTACATTACAAGGGTCCTCCCAGGAGGACCTTCCACTCCCCTTCCTTCTGGAATATGCACTCCCATTGCTCCTGGAAGGAATCTTTGTCACTGATTCATCTGCAAAGTTAACAAAAATGGTTTTACTAAAAATATTAGTTCAAGATTGATGCCTGAATTCTACTTGTCATATTC